AATATGGAGTAGTCAATTTTAGTTATAAAAGTGGTAATCGTTCGGAGCCCTCGAACTACCGTCAACTCTCCTTCCAGTTTTATCCAAACTAATGGAACGTATAATTGCAGAGGCGCTCATGGGATTTCTTGTGAGCAACAACATCCTAGTGTCACAGCAACACAGATTCCGCCGAAATCGATCCTGCACTACAAATTTGCTGCTAGCCCGAGCAAGCTGGACAGTCAACCGATGCCAGAGTGGGAGTCGACGTTGTCTACCTGAACTTCTCGTAAGCGTATTCCCTTTCACAAGCTTCAAAGCTATGGAATCGGTGACCCTATACTCGGTTGGATAGGTAACTTCCTCGCTCAACGTCAACTGAATGCGAGAGTCCGCAGTTCAATTTCCGACCCAATTGACGTCCAGTGTGGTGTGCCCCAAGGATCGGTACTGGGACCACGTTTATTCCTAACATTAACGATTTTGCCAGTACTGCAGTCGAATTGCTTACTAGTTGCAGATGATGTCAACATTTGGCATGATATCAGGACATCCGATGATCACATGGCAATGCAGAGCCATCTCGATAGGGCTTATGCGTGGTCATCCGATAACCGGCTCCAGTTCAACGTGACTAAGTGCAAAGTCGTAAGCATACGCCATCAGCTTATCTATAGATCTCAACTTGGGGACTAGCAGTTATAACGTGCTTCCCAAGAAAACGACCTCGGGGTGATCGTGCAGTACGATCTTGATTGCTCGAGACAGGCATCAAAAAGAGCCAATATTTTGGACTCTTACGGAGGGCTTTCGGGAATTTTGAGCCATCAATCTTTCCGCAAATGCTGGACGCCTAGGTGAGGCCTCACGTGGAATATGCGATTCACGCCTGGCGCAAGCGCGACGTCGATGCATTTGAAGCTCCAAACTCGTGAGAGGATTGTTCCATCTCTCCTACCAACGCAGACTGCGGTCCCTGAGAATGTACAGTAGTGAACATCGACGTCAGCGAGGAGACCTAATCTTGGTTTACCTAATACTGACGCAAACTGTTGCAGCTGAGCCATCAGCTCAAACTGGCTACGCGCTACAGTCGGCTTGATTGTCGACGAAACATTTTCTCCCTCCGTGTGTCCCGTGCCTGGTATACCCTTCCGACTCACGTTATCTTTGCCCCTACATTGACATCATTCAAAAAACGCATTGATGAAACGCTTTCAACTTGCATTACTTGATATAGTCGGTTCCACTTGGAGGACGAAATAACGCAAAACTAACCATATGCTTAAAGGGCCCTCTCCGCAACGTGACGGTAAGGATACATGCAGTAGTGTCCATGTGTAGCCCGGATGTATCTAAACCGGATTAACATACCGTATCTGTCCAATGAAGCGACACACGAGTGAGCGTTGTCCTTTCCTTTCTCACGCATTTACCGAAATATAACGGCGTGCACATCCCATTCCCATTTCAAACTCCTGTTATGCAGTAGTGCATTTAAATCGGTATAGGCTTAAAATAACGATTTACTTATTCGATGATCCATTAAAGTTTAATTTTTGCTCCAACCAACCTACAGGACTTGTCAAGCACATGCTTTTTTACCCGTGATAAATCATTGTTCATCAGTTACGCGAAAAGCTTGGAAAGCACTTCGGCTCAGTTTACAGCGGCACTTACCTGAATTTAAGAGTATTGATCCTCTCAACTGGTGATGGTATTCGCGATGAATAATAATAGGCGGTTCGACAGGTCTGTTTGGTTGGCAACATCCAGTTTTGGATCTGCCTGTCACTGCGGCCTCCACGACGACAGAGGGACTATGGGTGGCTTGCGCTGCACTACCCGCAGCTCCATCCACACACTTTAAATAGTAAGACCGGGAGGCATGTGTATGGGAGCTACGTTTCATCGGCGGAGCCGGCCCACACTCCAACGTGCACAACAGCAACGTTCCAATCAGTCAAATTGGGGAATCATGCGTATCAGACGTACACAAGGCATTGACTGCGCTTTAGCCCGTTCCACACTGTATGCATGGAACTACACTTTGAGTCTAGCACCGTGACGAGGACCGTGCACACGATTGAAAGTCTCTCGAAGCCAGCGTACAACCAGGTGAAAGGTAATAGACAGGTGGATACCTTGTCAACATTCACATCAAGCGCAGCCACACCGGGGATATCAAGCAACAGGCAACATCTGAAGTGCACGAAACTCAACAAGCAGGCACACGTATAGATCAACTGCAACAATGCTGTGACACAATACCACATCAACCGCCTTATTGGCCTGGGTTAGTAAAGCAAATGAAATTGGAAGCAGTGTACTTACGATCTCTTCGCTGCTGCTAATTTGATAATCAGCTGACTTGTCACCATTTGGATGCTGGTCACGCTTATCGCTTACCTGACCCGCTTGGCTCAGGCACTCGCGACCTCATGTGCTACGGCAGCATGCGATTGACGTCGATGGAGTAGACTGCATCGGCGCCTGTCGCTTCTGTACAGGGCAACTCTCCTCCGCATATAATAGTGCATTCTCCTGCACCCGGGCAACTGCGCTCTTGATATGCCATCACCATCAGCGCCGATCCACTCACATCGCTTCCCAACACCTAAAATCGACATTACTTCGTGATAAACTCACCTTGATCATGTCCGGATAACGTACCTTCGGTTTTCCAACTTGCTGCTTCCCTGCACTAAGTTGTCCGTATAAGAGCTGCCTGGGTATCCGCGTCGAATCCAAGCGGCTGTCATGCCCGATCCACCTCAGATGAGGCAGCAGAAATATGCAGTCCACTGCATACATGCCACAGCGGGGCAGCACTTTCGTGTCTACAACACTGTCGCACTAACCGACGCGCAGAATCAGTCAGACACTTGATGAAACCGCTTCAGGTATCTGACGTCCTTCCGTTACATCGTCCAGGGTTCACTGCCGTATAGAACGGACAGCACCATCGATTTGTATACCATCAGCTTCGTCCCAACGGTAAGCTAAGATTGTTCCACAAACATTTTTCCGCTTTTCCAAACACAGCAGCCGCCTTTGATTCGCGGATACGTAGCTCGCTCATCATCTGCAGCTCTGTAGGTATTACACTCCCAACGTAGCAAAATCTCGAACTGGTTTCCAAATCGCCATTGCCAATGTGCATTTGCGACAGGCCTACGGAATCCATTTCTAGTGCAGGCTGAAAATGACAGTCTTACTTGTGAGCCCGAATTTGGCCGCAGTTGACGCTAGAGCCGAAGTCATGTATTACAACTCCTTGCGCTGTGTGAAAACAACACACAGTCGGCTGCTAACAGTAACAAACAGATGGTTGTCTCACAGACTAGGATTCGCACCAAGAAACGACGCATGTTCAGTAAACCCCCATCAATACGGTGCTCAAAACGGACACCGTAATCAGAAACACCATTAGAGTTCTTGGGTTCAATTGTTCGGCGAGCTTCGTAATTGGTATGCAGACGTTTCATCACCACGTGACTGAGGAAGTCACCTCGCGTGGTGATGAAACGTCTGCATACCAATTACGAAGCTCGGCGAACAATTGAACCCAAGAACGATCAACCCGGGCTACCAGTACACCATTAGAGTACAAGACATCAGTGCACTAAAGTGAATATTAAACAGGGCAGGGGCAAAGACACAGCCATGCTTCACACCAGACAACATAAAAGTTATCCGAAGTTTGACGACAAAGCTGCACAATCGTCTACATGCCACTGTGCAGACATCCAAGTAAACTCACAAAATTACTCGGACAGTCAAACTAACCCAACATTAGCTTAGTGCCCCGCGGTTCACCATATCAAACGCCTCGGTGTATACTACAAACAGCGAGTACAATGGCTGGTGTCGCTCTCGGCATTTCTCCTGCAAGTGGCGATCCGTCCATTATACGAGTGCTGACAGGGTGTCCACCGGTTAGACATTACCACTCTGACTGCTAACTGCAAAAGGCAGTTAGCCAAGCTAAAAGTGTGGTTTCGCCACAAGAGGCCTCACACACACAAGAATGCTGTCCAACCCTGGACAACTCGCAGCTCACCTTCGCGATGCAACGCAAGCCATTCACAGCTTGCGTGGGTGCATGTCCGCTGCGTCCGATTGCCGCCATTTATGGATAGTAAAGAGACCACAATAATATTACACTGCGATTGTGAGATGTTGCGAGAATTTACACACAGAATAGCAACCGCTGTCAAAGGCCCAAGTGCAATGTCCTTAGCAAAAGTAGAGAAATGCCTTGAGCCGGAACACATTCTAGTTGGCTGGGTGGCCATATCGAAGGCAGCGAGTCTCGTGGCAATGGGATCGCGGGTGTGATACAAATGTGCTCTCACCAAGCTATAGTAACGATGGTTTTTTCAGCCTCCAGTTGAAGGATAGGAAGCGAAAGGCGATCGCCTATCTGGATTTCGTGCGCTGGCGAAAACCGACCGTCTAAGCAAACTAGAGCATGGAAACCGGTTACACTTGACCAAAGACACGTTCGTGAATGAAAACGCACCCAAATTCAGCAAGAAATTGGTACCAAACGATCGTTTGATCATTGATGACTGGAAGTTGGATAAATCATCACGAATGGTAGAGCTCTAATCCATACGGGTTGCTGCGTGATGCTTGGTTGTGCGAAAGCAATGGAATCCAAATGATGAATCGGTCTCGTGCTGGAAAAGTTGGCATATGTGGTTAAAACATTCCCATAAACCTAAAACGTAACATATTAATGGAGGGCTTGAACATATTTCACATGTTCCGTAGCAAAGATGCGTCACGACGTCATAATCGCTCTACTAACACCATGAAGATACTAAGGAAGCAAACGGTAGATCATTTGCATCTCGAAGTGGTCTAAATTGCTGATCATTGAAGTAATCTTCATGAGACAGTAGACAGTGTCCGTACATTACAGTGATGCCCTGAGAAAGTACCTATGATTTGTGCTCAGTCGCTTAGTTATTAAAAAGAGTAACTTCAATTGTTACGTTGATCTCTTTCAGTTCCCAACTCCTCGCCGCAACAAGAGAGCAACTTGGCAGCGATTTGGGCACGGTTAATCGAACCGCGGGTGAAGGAATGGGACATCGACTCCAACGAGAAGGATCAAATTTGTAAAAGGACATTTGAAGCGCTGAAGCATTTAATCATTTTGGATCAACTTGATGGCAGAACCGTGTGGCAGAAGTTAAGCGATCGCGCCGATGAAGCACTCGGGACAGAAGAGAGCGATCTGAGCAAGAGGTGGGTGGGGTGAGAGTGCAAATGGCGAGCTAATTCGGACCACACCTTTGGTATACAGTCTACGAGCGTTGTCATAGGCTTCGGGGTGTTTAGCAAGTCCACCTGTTCACTGTTATGTGCATGTTGACGAAGCCTGGACCGATAGGTAAATACACGTGGACTCCATCCACACGCTGCCACTTAACTTTATTCCATCTGATTTGCACTAAATATTGTGAATGTGGATGAAAATGCGAGTGGTACAACACACCAACCATGGCCCTCTCTAGGCAGTCGACTTCCGATAGCCTTAGTACATGGCAGCAGGTATTGCGAAAACGGATGCACTATGCCGAAATGCCCTCACAACGGAGCAGGCAGATTGTAAGAGGAATCTGGGACTGGAATTTAACGAACTGGGGGTAACGGGTAAAGCACACGCGGCAATCCCAAGGACTATGGGGCAGTAGACGGTCCCTAAGGTATACATATGAGGAGTGAAGATAGGCTATCACGATGTCCTCGAAAGCAGCAGAGTATGTTTAAAAAGTGTCTTCGTTGTTTCCTGTCTAAGGTTTACGTTTTTCTGGTTATTAATTTAGGAACAGAGGAAAATGCTGATTACAAGGGTCCAGCTAAAAATTAGAGCAATAGTCCATGAAACATGTTGAGAAAAATAGATCACAAAGTAGTAACAGTGCGAATCGAAGGGAAGTGCTATCTAGAAAATTGCCAGCATACGGTGCACGATCCAGACTTGGAGAGCTAGTACTACTAAGATAAAATGAGCGCAATCGTAATATCAGTTTGACTTAGTGAAAAAGACACTTGCAAAATGGGGATGCAGCGTGTGAATAGTTTCTCACAATACCACCGTTAGGCACAGCTGGACGCATCCCATCTAAGTACCGATCATAGGCATCGGATTATTCTGTTACTGTATGCAATGCAAAAACAACCCTTTTTTCACAAACAGGTTCATAAGTGCCCAACGCGCCACAGGATTTCCGCTTTCCCTTCAATCGCTCGTGGTGCGCGCGCTGCGCGTGTGGTTTCAACGACGTTTTGTGAATCACTGCCTTGATACCGAATCACTGACAGACGCGTACGGCGCGTTAGTATTTGCAGATTGGACATGTCAGTTACCGGTGCCATCTCTGGTGAAGGACATTATACTACTCGATACGGTACGCTTCGAGGTGCACGCGTGAGAGTACAAAACAGATGCAACCGAGAACTCCGAATCATGGTGAATAGTTGTCCAAGCGAGTTTATGAAATTAGAACACAGATGAAACTCATTTATATTTTATGTACAAAACGCAAAAACATTTTGATGGTATATGTCTTATATGTCTTATATGGCTTGTCATTCACAAGAGGATTTGCGGTCGCGTGGAAGAGAAAACCGAGTCGATCCGGATTCTGGATCTGAAATCGAATGTGGGGAGAGCCAAGGTAAAATGAGTAGCTGTGGTCAAATCTATAGAGATAAAGAACCTATCGGAAAATTTAGTAGGTATCAACACCTATGTAAGAAACTAGTTATTTGGTCAACAGAGACGAACTCAGTTGCAATGATGTGAACGATAATAAAGGATAAAAATTAATAACGGTAACTCAAAAATAGACAAACAATGAGATCTACAGGTGAATTATTTGAGATCAATAAATAAAAGAACGATTATAAGAGTGCCGCTGATTTTGTGAATGCGCCCAGCTCGATTGCAGTGGCAGATCCACTGAAGCAAACTGAACTACTGATAATTAATAAGTAATCTACAAAGAAAAGGACGATGACGGTCCAGATATAGGTCAATGGCAACAGTAGTGAAAAATGATAAGTAGCCTGTTTATTCTTGGCTTTCTGACCAGTCAAACAACATCTGCTTCTGTTTATTCCGTAGCTCCGATATCGCTATCGGTGACAAATTCACAGATGTCAGATCTATTGCTAACCGTTCTTGTTTGATACCGTAGAATAACAAATGCAGCACCTATTACTCTTCGTTTCGCTGTTACATTAACTGCGTCTGCATATCGCTCACTGTTTGAACTATACTTTTGGATTTATTTCAGTCACGTCCTTACGAGTCGGTTTCTTTATTCGTAATCCTATTGTATTATATTGTCTATAATTACGATATTAGAACCACGGTATAATAGTATAATTCCAGCCACCGCTCTAAGTTGTGTTGCCCGGACAGTGGTGAATCGGCTTGCTAGGTACCTCTGCCACCGTAGTAACGAGCACCAAGCACATTCATATTTTCAGGGAGCTCCGGAATTTCGCCCACTTACGTGCAGTATTGGTGAACAACACACTCCGAGACAGCCGAATAAGAAACAAAAGGTATGAACAGGACGATAGACCACGTAATGGTGCTTCGATGACACGCAATCACCGACGGCTGCATGCAGACTGGGATACTGCGAGGTCGATCGTGTGCAAGCACATTCGAACCAGTGACCAAACTGAGTATCTGTATCACCTATAGCATCGGTGGGACTACGCGAACCATGGTCCTGCAGGGGTGTCCAAACCTACATGGAGCCGGAGACTCATAATCAAGTGGACAAACGAAATGTACGACGTTGCCTGTGTATGTAACTCGAGTTGGACAGGCGTTGCAAAGAGACACTAGAGTGTGAATTGCACAACGCCAAATGCCGAACTTCGGTATGGTGCATCCAGTGATCCTATGGGACATCAGCAACGTTGTGCGGTGATCAGGGGTGAAATGTGATCAATTTCTTATCGTCTTCACCGCACAATGGCTATACAGCAGCGCAGAAAACCCTTCCCCTAATCCCCCAGATTATATCGCGCCGTCTCCAAAAGTCACTGGGGATTTGGAAAGTTGCACAAGCCTTACTTGTGCATTAGCTAACCTCTTCCATGGTACAGACACATGGATAAGTAGACCAATCGACGATTTTGTTCGATGAGGTGGTGAACTGGTAGAATGAGGGCCCAATGCTGTGCTCAACAGAGTATTCAGCCCGAATGGGTAACATCCAAGAGGAAATACAAGTCTGTGGTTGAAACTGGAGCCCTGAGTAGTGCCAGTAAGAATCAGTTATTTTTCAAGCCTGCTGGTTGGTGCACCAGGAAAGCAGCTGTCGGAAGATTACGTTGGGTTAAACGATGAGCTGCACGTTCTGCTCTGAGTTAAAAGGTAGACTGTTGAGTCCTCCCCCGGGCGACTCCCTCTGAAATCCTCGTGTTTGATAGATTCCACGTTTAAGTTCGTGGGAAAACAAGGCGAAAATACTGGGTCAATCGTACGAGATGAAGAGAGTCAGAACAACCTGAAACGAACACTGATTCCACGTAGGCGACTGAGAATGCTACAAGCTATAAGAGCGCTTTAAATGCAGCCAACCACATAAGATGGCGAGGAGTAACGGCATCAAATACTGACTAGCAGATGTTAGTGGAGCGATCAAGTCTTGATTTCACCCTGTAGAGCCAACTTGAAAGGTACATCAATCTCAATCAGTTTACATGACAGTAAACAATTACAGTCAATCTAGTTGCCCAAAATATAGGTGTGCGGTGAAAATCTTGAAGAGCGGATTCAATGGAAAACTGTGTATGCTAAGACAGAGAACATAACATCAGTTGCATAGCTCCGAAGGAGTAAGGCTGGATTATATCATTCGACATATTTATGCATAAGCCTCAGGTATCACTCAGGCGACGATCTCAGAAGTTGCGTTGAAAATAACAAAAATGCATATTCTCCTGATACATACCGTGGGCCTGAAAGTGAGAGGTATATTTCTAACATTCGCGTCTGGACGCTAGCGGCAATCGTGAATACAGAAATGCAGCAAACATTCAACTATAGTAAAACCAAAAACAGAGACCCAAAAATCTAGTATTTTGTGCTAGTAGTAAGTTAATGTAAATGAAAACATTATGTGTCAGCTGTACACCGTAACGACGCTTCGCTGCCGCGCGACCACCACCACCGCGAGGACGCTCACCCCCATTGCGGATTCGAACCGGTGACCTTATGGTTGCAAAACAGGCGCGCAGACCAGTCAGCCACCGGCCGACATAAATTAGTATACAAACATGCGGACAGCTACCGGAAAGTGAATAGTGTCATTCCCCTACTCCTCTTAGTAAATGAATGTGCTCAAAACGCCGAGGATTCAGCCAACGCTACGGCCGCAATATCCTCCGATATTCGGACGCGACACCAGCATGTCACATAACTGTCCCATTCCACCAGAAGCCAGGATTTACCGACGTAATCTTTAGTTCAGCGACTGTATTGAAGAAACTGCAAACGTTCCGCCAACACAGTTCCTAGAAATTGACAGCATTCACCCTAAAGTGCTAGAGACGTACGTTGAGAGAGCTAGCCGAACCATTATCTCGATTCTTACAGGTGTTTAGATGAACAGCAGGTCTCTAAAATGTGGAAGCCCGGTAGCAGTACCCCAATTTTTAAGAATGGCGACCGTTCGGAGCCAGAAAACAATCGCCCAGTGATATTCCAAAATCTCTCAAAGTTAATGGAGCCGATCCATAACATAACACCGAAACAACACGGCTTTCGTCAACATTGAAAATGTACCCCCAACCTACTGATTGCGCGTGTCAGTTAGACCGAAACGGCGGATGGTGGGAGCGGAACGGATACAATCTTTTCCAGGAGCTCCGATCGCTTGGATCACCGCATCTTTCTTAAGTCGTAAACCTACGGAATTAGAAACCCTGTCCTTGGATAAATCAGGAAATGCTTTATTTAACTGCAGCAGTCGGTTCGACTTCAGGGCTCATTTTCTGATCCAAATGGGGTGAAAAGCGATGCTTCACAAAGATAAGTGCTGGAGCCGCGCTTGGTCCTAATAAACGACTCCGCGTGTTTTATCGAGTTGAATTTCATGATTTTTCAGATGAAATCAAGATATGGCAAGCAATCTGTAATCTGGGATATCACGACCTGCTGCAACGAGATCTGGATCGTGCTTCTGGGCAGTCAGAGACGAATCTGCTTCAATTTAACGCGGATAAATGACAAGGATTTCAAGTACGCCATGAATCAAATAGCACGTATAGATTGGCAGACCACATTTTGAATACTGCCTCACAGAAGTGCAACGTTGGCTGATGATTCAAAGTGACGTCGGTTGTTCAGAACAATCGGTGAAAGCGTCCAAAATCGGGAACCAGCACGCTGGTCTGTACTTGATGCCGTTCGCCGGAGCGTGGCCTTAAGGATCGCAAGCTTGCTTCGTAATCCTGAGGTCGCGGGTTCGAACCTGCGTACGGAACCAGGCGACCATCGCAGCATCCTTAGTCCACGCGCGACTGTGGTGGATGCGCGGCAGCAAAACGTCGGTACTTCGTGCCGGCGAAATGTTGATGCCTTTTTTATTGACGGCGTTTGGACGAGTGGACCAGTCCGTCTTCGGGAGAATGCTTAAGGCGTAGGTGTGACCCTGTGTGGAGTACGCGATTCGGGCTTGGTAACCCTGGTTGAAACGAGATTTGGCCGAACTTGAGAGCCCACAGCGAGTAATAGCTAAAAAAGTAAGGAGTTTCATTTGTAACTGCCTTCTGAAACTTCCCTATGATACCAAACTAAGGGGCTGCCAGCCGAATATGACCGCACAACACCCGTTTGGAACATTACATGTTTTCTTCTCCGGAATTTGTCAGCCGTGAAACGCCCTACTAACCTACCTTAACTATGCATACATGTTATCCACTTTTAAAAACTATTCGACGGTGACTTACACTATTTGCATTTCGTAACATTGATATGGTTTATTGAGTGAGGAAAAAACAAATATAATCCTCACCTGATCCCACGAAATCGGGGTTAACGGATTTACTTGTGTCTTAACGTGGATACTAGGGTGAGTCTCCAGATGCGCATTTCACTTTAGCGTCATATTTTCCTTGAAGTTAAGTAATTCGAAACTGTCCTAGCTTCTGTACCCGTATTATACCATTGTTTCGTTGAGATAGCTGGTCGAGTTACTTAACGACGCAGCAATGTAAGTTGCTGAAGCAGCGACTCGGGGGCAGGCCTCTCTCTACACGACAGTAACGAACATGGGTGGCTGAGGATGACTTTCATCAGGATGCAGTTGGTCAATGAGGTCTAACTGTAGTGACGGATTCTAGCTAGCCCTCACGCGATTGAAGAACTCTCCTTCCCTCTTCTCTGTGTTCTGAAAATGTCATCAGGAACGTACCGGGAAACTCCACTTGGCCAGTGGGTTTGCGGTCAAACGCGCCTGCAATGACAATTTTATGGCATTACCCCGGATCACATCGGATCTTCAGCGCACTCACCTCCTTCATGACCCACTAATCATTGTATAACTGAATCTGGCCACCATAAATCCAGGGAGACTGGAGCAATTGAAGACTCCTTCCAGAAATCACAAGAAACAAGTGATCACCATAAGATGCATGAATCATGTGGGTTTTTCACTGCTCTCCGAGCTGAATGATTATTTTGCAGTTTTGCTACCAGATTAGGCAACATCGTCACTGCGGCTTTAAGGTATTGTCTCACAGAGCCTCGTAAACGACTTTGAGATCTAAGTGCATATTGATCGAAATCTGCTTTGAATACTAGGATTTAATAAACTCACGTGTTTGCCGGCTTGTGACTCCTCCAAGAATTTTGACGCGCTCCAGGTCGAACCGGTGGTCTTCGGCATCCATACGCATGGACATCAAAGAGTTGTTATCATGACGGCGGATGGCTAGGCTATGTTCATGTAGCCGTGTGCCAAGCTTGTTTCCTGTTTGTCCTACGTAGTATTTGTCACAGTTTCAGCAGCAGATCTTGCAAATTACCCAAGATGTTTCCAACTTGTTAAGCGTATCTTTCACTTCGAAAAGTTCATTTCAAATTGTTTCTGTTGGTTGGTGGGCAATGTCCCAAAGGCAACCAAAGTCTCGTTGTCAGTACAGAAATTCCGTTGTTGTAAGGCAACACGGGTTGCTTTTCAGCCGTTGTATTTGCTGAGGTGTGTTGTGTTGCCATAAGGCAACAGGGTCCAAGCAGCGCAGAATGGAGCACTGTGGGTACGAATTCCGTTTAAACAGGCTGTAGAGATGGTCTTCAGCCCGGAGAGCAGTGCAAAACCCACACCCACATCCCAAGCTACGGATATACTCAACCATTTAAATGCATAAATCAATCCCTAACACAGGAACTTACGATATAGACTATCATGTGTCCAATCACTTGTCTATGGCTCGTCAGCAATCGCAGCCTCCTCAAACGAAGATCTAACTATGATTTCTGCCATTTCTAACGACTATCTTATGAGCACCTCAAAGAAAGACGCATTACTGACTCTGTGACTACGTTCCAGAAGGATCCGCTACTTTTGTTAAAATTATTCCTAATACTCGTGGAATCACGAAGATGCAGGGAACTTTCGAAGCACAGACATTCCAACTGGCAGCGCGCTGATAATCGGTTAAAGAATGTGTGCAATATCCGTGATTGGATACATACATTATATACATCCCGATGACAATGAGTTCCCATTCTAATTAACCTAACAATCTCTGCCAAATATTTTGTTACACTGGCTACAAACGGTTGGAACCTTGACTTTTATAGCCTAGAAAGTGATTTCCTCTAAGCTCTTTTCGGTCGATATTCTGCACATGATTGCGCTTTTAAGATCATGCAGACACAGGCGTGCTTCGTTTTGTCGAGAATACACAAGCATTTATGTATAAGAGCAAAACCACTGGCGACTTGAGATGAAAATGTTAGCAACCACAACGGAAAACGAATGAAGAGAAGCGATGAATCGTTGAAGGTAACAAGTCGGAAGGGCGTTTGAACGCAAAAACTTTCCATTCTGAGACCCCATCTCAAGAAGTGTAACTTGATTTTTGGTTAAATCAGTGTGTTTCGCTATTAATTTACCAAATTAATGCATTTTCCAACCGAGTATTACCTCAATAAACAAAATGTATCGATGTTGGAGGTCGGTTAACATATGAGGAATTCGATCTTGTGCAAGATTTATGTTAAACAGAAGGGCCAGGCTAAAGCCGCATAGGTTAACCGAAACCACTCGTTAGTAGAACGGAGGAAATACCGAATTCGGTACCAGAAGCGTTAGTACACTCCAGCGACTGCATAAAGAAGACCATAAAAAGTACCATAGTTACCGAATGAGTCAAGTGAGTAGGTCGGATTTCAGCTCTACATCTCTCAGTGCAGCGGATATGCAGAGTACCGGGTTACAATGCTAAGCACAAAAGTTTATAGGGCCCCTGTACGCTATGAGATCTCGGAATCATACTTGAATCAATCTAAGATAACTGGATAAATGGAAAAAGCAAAGGCTGAGAATCCTATGAAAGGAGTCCGACACATTCATGTTTGATACCTTCCGAGAAAGTCTCATAACGGACTTAGCGAAAACTAAGTTAGGCGAATGGAACAACTGACATGGAAAACTAAAAGGCAATATGAAGAAACGTAAAAAGCAATATATTCCTAGCTAGGCCGCACGAAAGGCATTCGGCCCCACTGCGCAAGAAGCCCATGGTGAAGATAAAGGTACCGGGACAAAACAGCTACACAGTGATTGTGGCGAGTCTTCCTTGAAGACTTATGTTGATCAGATAAGCCATAGAGCAGATAGGACGTTCATCAACTGGGTTAGGCAAGTGGTGGAGAACATGACATCTAAGGAGGGTCCAAATGGTGGATTGTCACAGTTTACTGAAACGTTTATGAACAGTTTAGAAATTTGATCAAGTATGGACGACATGAGTCCGAGCCGTCTGCACGTCCACCACTTGTTTTACGATAACACGAAAATATAACCAATGATGGGGAGCTAAGCTGAAGCGAAGACACTAGGCACTGTTGCACAACAAAATATATCATTTAACAAAAATGCACTTTATTATTTGCAAACAAATCGAACGGTACGATTTCCGTACCTGGAGGTTGCGACTCTCTAATGATGAACCCGACCAAAAGTAATGGGGTAGAAAGAAAGCCCACAAAACTTAGATCCAATTAAAAGGGACAAACTGCAGTGTCTTTTATTCGCTTAGCACGTGGTGTTTCAGTGAAGTGCTTCAGTATATGCCACATAGTCAAGGACACAAAAGAGTGAATCGGCTAAGGCGAGACAAAATCGCAAAGAGACGGGATACTTACCGTAAGAAACATTCAGTGAGTAGGCTTTTCGATCGTGAATGAAGTTTACTACGAAGTTGGAACCTGTGTCTAAACTCTGAACAAATATCCCGTTGCATAAGCACCAGTCACAAAACTCCTCCACTGAAGCACCGGGTCCGACATCTAGGATGGGTTTGAATTGAATCAAAAAAGCAATGGTAGGGGAAAGGTTCAAACGGCACAAAGGAATTCAGTGAGGGACAATAACTGTCACTCCCAGCATAAGCGTACAGAAAAATAATATAGGAGGGCACAGAGTGCGTTATCCTATATACGTGTAGTGTGATGGCGAGTGGATGCGTTATGTTCAAAAAGGACATTGAACATGTAGAGTTGAGCGCCACATAAGACGTCATTCGCTATCCACTAATCCACTACGGAACTGATGAACAGAAAGCTTACAATACGTAGCAAAATGAGTATGACGGACATACTGAACAACCAATAAGACGACAAGTAACACCTATTGGCCATGATTCTTAAGTGGGTGGAACAAATTGTGCTGGAACAGCGACAATGTGCAGGAGAATATATCACGAAAGAGATTGAAGTGATCGAACGAACGCGGAAGATTTGACAGTGTCAAAAATGTGTGTTTTAGAACACCTAAGTGAAGTGAACACGGTACATCTGTTGACCAGTCAGTGCTAGCAACAGTGAAAAATCCAAGACATTAGTCAGAGAATCTGTAAGTTTTACGATAATCAGTACTCACCGTTCACACAGAACGATTCATTCCGGGACTCTGCTGCTTCAATGAAACTGGCCAACTGAACAAGCAAAGTACTGGTATCCTCCTCAGCAAATTCCTCTTCAAGACCGTTAGCCCGACCCACAAACTGTGGGTGAGATGTGTTGACCAAATCAGCAGTTGTTTCATCATTTGGTGAAACCGAGCGCCCCGATTTAGTGGAGTTCTGTGTTTCAGTAACCCCAGAGGAAGCTACATCGGCATGATCGGAAGACGTGATCGCCGGGTCGGCATGCGGACTAGCGGTGAAACAAAGGAGAGTAAGATGTAGCAATCCCGG